AGTAGAAAGAGAAAAGGGCTTCAGAGTTATTTCAATAAACCGTACGGGATGAGACCTCATGGGGGTGGAATCTTTTTTTCGTGCCGTAGGGTGATGGGACTTCGATAGGAAGGGGGTTCTAGTAGCGGCAGGAGGATAGATGAGAATAGAAGAGTACAGACCAGCTATGATGGAGCCGTCAGTATATCGTGATCCACGCATCATCAACATTGACGACCTCCGTCCGCTTTCAGGCCATCCAGCCCTCGCCCATTGCGCCAGTTTACGAGCCGGAGGGGTCGCTTCCTTCTTCCAGGCTCCGTGAAATATTTTGGGCAACCTGTGACGTCACCACCTAATTTCCTTCACGCCTTGTTGCCCGGTGCCAATGTACCGTTTTACGATTGCGAACCTCCGTCGAGAATCGCTAATTAATAATTTGCCTTCTACGTGACGCCGCTCTACCGACACGTGCATTAAAACGACCCCTGCTGTGGTTACGCCATTTACGTAACCCTCTGGGAAAATAGGTTGTCACCATGCGAAATCCAAGAAAATCACTGGTTGGTACGTGGTTGAAAACGCAACGGAACGCCTCCTCCGTGCGTGACTTCTTCGTGCGCGTTCGCGAGAAAATACGTGCGAGATCGCGGCAAGCCGCAAAATGCGGGTTATTTCATTGAGATTAATAATTCATCGGACAATTAGAGCTCCGCAGGTGGTCGGAATAAAATGCAACCGAGGCATATGTTTGCCTGGTGAATCATAGAGAAATTAGCATAGCTAACGCACACGGAGCACATTAGCATATTCGTGTCGATAGGCATATACGGATCTCACATGTTGCGTTAGCCAACTCGACCCTTCAGGAAACGGAAAACGCCTCGCCGAAATTCGTGTCGATAAGCGTGTCGAGAGTCACACGTGTCAGCCTGTAGGAAAGTGACAATTTGCAAGGTGACTCTGCGTGATTGAAAAGAAATTATCGGTATGAAATTGCCAACCATAAGTATTACGATAATAGAATATCATTCGAAAAGTTTTTAAAAGCTTTATATTCAACAATTAGCACGTGAGGATTCATCGGATTTATAGTAATCCCCATAAGTCGACCACATGGAAATTTTCGAACGTAGAAACGATTTAATTAGCAAATTCCGAGTATTGGCACGTTAGCGCATTGTCCGTCGACGATTCGAATCCCGCGGGGCATATACGTCCTAGGGACATATACGTATACGTAGAGATTCACCAGATAGCTCGTGCCCCGTCCAGTCACTGGACTCCCCTTCGACAATGCAATAGCATAGAGTATTACAGGGGAACCTCGACTACTACGTGCAGTCGGGCTGCATTTCGGTAGTGAACGCGGGCGCGGACTCCATCGGCGAGTGCATGCGTAATTAATGAAACCAATAAAGCCGCTCGTACTCGGAAATTCGTTAAATTTAATTGGACGCGAGTAATCCTCGCGAGTGACAGGAGATGGCACGAACGTAAACAACACGGAACACCTAGGCGGGCAACCGGGTGAGATTCTGGAAAATCTTCAGGAAATCGGACGAGCACGCCGCCGAGAGCTTCGCACTGGATGACACACTGTTTAGGTTATGTGAGGTTACGTTACGGCAGGCCGTTCGAAAACGCTCGGAAATGGCTGCCGGGAAATACGAACGATACTTCACATTTGCGGAAAGCGAACGGCGTGGGACATTCCACTCGACATTGAAATATCGCATTTCCAACTAAATCCTGGCGAATCTAATTTTACGGGAGCCCGCAGTTTGCATTAGTGGATTAATGCACTCTATTCCTGGTGGACCGAGTGATGAGGTATATTTGCATGGAATTATACTCTTGCGAACCCTCCCATCGACAGGCAGAGGCAGCCTTTGGTTCCTCTCGCTACCTCTAATTACACGGGGCCCGCGTCACTATCGGCCCTCTCGTACAGGTGATAATTATATTACTATCCTATCAGCGTTATTGCCATTCCTCAAGCTGTCTCGTAGTCACGTCGTTTGAAGTGCTTGGTATACCCTAACGATCGATGCCCTCAGGATGCTCGATGCTTACCTACCTGTGCCTCCTTCCTGTCTCTCTCTCTCTCTCTCTCTCTCTCTCTCTCTCTCTCTCTCTCTGTACGTACCTAACCTACAATTTGCTGAGAGAGGTTAACCTCTCAGTACCGAATCTCATCGTCCTGGTGTGAATTTTCAATTGAATTTCCATCGACGTTACTGGTACCGCTGAAAGATAATCACACTCAACCGTATCCCTTCGTATTTATTGAGTGAAACAAAAATTGAAGGAAGAACGAGATGCAATCATCAATGACTATTGCGCGAATCCGGGTAACATTGCTCGACTACTAAATACACGTATAAATACTGTCCGCTACTCGTACGCGACCCTCGCGGGTTCCACACGCGATATGCAAATCCTCAGATAAGTGCATCAAGCTTGATCACACGCTTCTGTAAATCACACAGTGCGAGCATTTTCTAATGAGAATTTTTTATAATTAAAGGATAAGGACAGCCGTTACGTATCTTAACGCTGCCATTATATTATCAGTGTAATTCAACAAGAGTCACTCGAAGCGGAAGCTGATATCCGTGTTATTAGTATATTACTACTGTCAGAGTTGGTTCTTCTTTACAATACAGTAAGTATTTTGACAGTAGGAAGATTTCGCTGTCTGGCTAAGCAAAGTACTTGAATTAATGTACGTGCATGTTTTTCTATAAATTATTACAGAAATTCAATGTTTCCTGGTGGCTTTGTATCCTTGTCCTTTTTGGATTTCCTGATGCATTAATCTTCCGACTTTGGCTTCATATACAGGGTGAGGCGCGAGAAACAGAACACCTAAATAACTTTATTGGATTTAAAGATACGGAGTTCGCAAATATCGGAATTTAAATGATTCGGAAGGGCGCCCATGGCTATCATAATATTTTTTTTTTAATTTCTTTTTTTACCAGTTTTTTCATGGTTATCAGAGTTTTTTTAAATGGAATGGCACATTTTTTCTCCTTGCACATTGTAGCCGGCATCCAAACGAATCCAACCATGTAACATAGTATGACCTTCAAAATGACCTCCAACCCAGAAATATGAAATTAAAACTAATTCGACGTGTTAGAGATTTGGCTTTATTTCTGTTACGCTAAATGTTCAAAATTACTCCCTTGCACGGCGATACATTTGTGAAACCGTGTAGTAACAGAATTTACTACTCTGTAGTTAATTTCTAAAGAAATCGATGCACAAGCCCTGGTGATTCTTTCTTTCATGTTCTCTGCAGTGGTTGGTCGTTCATGATAGACTTCGAAATTAGAAATTAACTACAGAGTAGTAAATTCTGTTACTACACGGTTTCACAAATGTATCGCCGTGCAAGGGAGTAATTTTGAACATTTAGCGTAACAGAAATAAAGCCAAATCTCTAACACGTCGAATTAGTTTTAATTTCATATTTCTGGGTTGGAGGTCATTTTGAAGGTCATACTATGTTACATGGTTGGATTCGTTTGGATGCCGGCTACAATGTGCAAGGAGAAAAAATGTGCCATTCCATTTAAAAAAACTCTGATAACCATGAAAAAACTGGTAAAAAAAGAAATTAAAAAAAAAATATTATGATAGCCATGGGCGCCCTTCCGAATCATTTAAATTCCGATATTTGCGAACTCCGTATCTTTAAATCCAATAAAGTTATTTAGGTGTTCTGTTTCTCGCGCCTCACCCTGTATATGGACTTACACGTAATATATCTGCGACTAATTAATCGAGCAAGTAGCCAGTGTATACAGCTAATGGGCCAAGCGCCAAATGCTGTTCCTGAAGTAATCGAATTTCCACTAGATCCTGTAACCTATGCACTGCGCGTGTACGTATGAATGGATTAGTATTGCATAATGTTTGGCTCTGTAATCAAATAACTCAATCCTCTCAACGTACGGATTCGTCGTGCAAGAGTAGAAAATGATTTCGTAGCAAGTAAACATATCTATTTTCTAATTATTAAATGTTACTACTTTAAAATGATAGGAAGGTAACGAGTTAGGTTAGTTTTTTTTAACTAGAGTATAACCCGTTCCAGTGCATTGTTCGAAGCTCCTAAAGCACAATGGTGAATTTCGTGAAGCAGCAATTACGCGGTCCTCTTATTGAGATTATTGGAGAACTCGTAAACTTTTTTAATTTTTAGGGATGAAGTGCGATCCGCGGGCTTCTCTTCAACAAAATACGTCGCTTCATACAGATAATGCTTCTCGATTGGTCAACAACGAGGGATTTTCACGTGCGTTTCCTGTAAAACATAAGACCTTTATTGAAACGTATTTCGCGACTATGTTGGATACGTACGTGAAGAGAACATTCAAGCTACCAAAGTGAGAACTACGAGAGTTATCGCCTGATGGTAAGTCAGATCAAGATTGGTTTGATTCTAGAATTTCGTTTGAAATTTATCGACGTGAAACTCTTTACAAGTGGTTTTAACGATATTGCCTACGGAGTTTTCTCCAAATGGATAAATTCATAAAGGAGCTTATTGTATTGTCTTGAGACAATACAATTAGGCATTACTCTGAGTGCTTTGATAATTAAGTCATTCATATTCATGAGATGCAGTAGTTTGCTTGTGATAACTATACTTTAAATCAAGTGCGATGGTGGTGTAATGGTCAGCATAGTTGCCTTCCAAGCAGTTGATCCGGGTTCGATTCCCGGCCATCGCACATTAATTTTGCAAACTGAAATACTCAAACAAATATTTAACAAAAATTTCCGGTACCGGGAATCGAACCCGAGCCTCCTGGGTGAGAGCCAGGTATCCTAGCCACTAGACCATACCGGAGAAGTTGAAAAATTTATCTCTCTGCTTATATATGACTGATAAATTAGTATAAACATTTATTTTTAAATATTACACATTCCCCAAATAGTCGCTACTATTATGTATGTAAATTTATTCAACACATATCGTTTCTTAGGGCATTTCTGCTTGCGGACTAAATTTTGTTTGTCCAGATCTGATGAACTGCCGTGAACTCAGACGGACATATACTCTACCGTCTCCGAAGGCAGTGTATAGGATATCAGGCATTGCCACTATACATGAATCTCAGTAATGCACGGTGCTGTCAGACGGTGTGCACCGTTAAACTGTAGTAGCGTGGGTAGCTTAGTATTTGCTCGAAATTCGAATGTGTAGTAGAGCCTCCCATTTTGTAAACAATCGCAAGAATAATGAATTTGATGCTTACTCCAATACGCGTGTAGAAAAAATATATTCAGTTATCTGATGGTTCTAACAGTTGATTAGTGCATTTGGCGTGCTGCGGTATTGAAGTTACAAACAAGACGCACAGAACAGCTGATTTCTAAACAAAGAAAAGTGTTTCAATGCGAGGCCAATTGCAGAATACGGTGAGTTATCATTAAATATCATGAGTAATATGTAGTATACGTCTTTTAGAAGCATTTCAGTGATTTTATATGATGATTATTTGTCAGTTTATACACCAAACATAATTGAAATAAATGATTGAAAGAACTTTATTCATTAAAATCTTATAATTTTACTTTATATTACTGAAATTTTATCTTTTTTGTGAATACTGACTATATGTATTTAAGTAGTTTTATTTATTTGAAACTCCATAACCATTTAACTTCATAATGAATATGTATGGTATCCGTAATACTTTTTTTTTTTTTTTTCTTAAGGACATAATTTTACAACCATAGATATTTATTTTCCATTGTTCATTATGATATTTAAAAGCCTTTTATATTTCAGTTTAAAGTTTATATTTCTTAAAAGCATCTAAATATATTTAAATCATAAATATATAGGTTTCTTTTATTATACTTAATGTACTCATAGCTATACATTTTTTCATATTACTCAGTAATTGTGCAGGTCAAGGAGTTGGACTCATTATTTAACAAGCACCCTAATTATACCAACATAGATTTATGTTTCCTTACAGCAATATTATTAATAATGGCTTGAAAGTAATCAAGAAAAGATGGAGGAAAATATATATGCAAATATCCTTTTAAAATTATCAAAGGATATAGTAAATGACCTAGATGTACGTAATGGAGTCATTGATTACTTAAAGTCAAGACATATTTTTAATGCTCAAGAAATTGAAAGAATTAAGTCTGGAGGTAGTAAGCAAGAGCAGGCATTGATCTTATTACAAATATTGCCTCGGTAAGAATTAATATAAAACATATATTTTTTACTTTGCTTCAGTATTTCATATATATGTGTGTGTGCACAAAATTGTTCATAGCATAAAAATCAATTATAAATAATTAGCAAACATCATGTAACACATAATTATTTTGACAGCACTCCTCATGCTTTTTATGCATTTCGAGATGCCCTACAACATCATTATAGGTGGCTGACCTATAGCATCGACAGTCTGTTATTAGAGCATCATAAAATATCACAAAGTGATACATACCATAACTCAGAATCAGCTACGCTGCCACCAATTTCACCATTGACAGTTACCAGGGAACAAGAGGTTCGATGTAAAGAATATCAGATATTGCTCATGAGTCATCCATTGTCTGTATCACGCATGGATGTACTATAGAATTGATTGATAAGATAAAAAAATATAGAATAATATAGGAACAGGTGTATGATTAGAGAATAAAACTACCAATACAAGAAATTCAGAAATTTAATAACCAAAGGTTATATTCTGTTGCCATCAGTACTTTTATTTTGCTTAGTCCACAATATTTTGTCTAAATGTACATTGGTTAACTCTACCATTTTCGCATAAAATCTTATGTGGGTCGTCACTCCAAAATTAACTTTTAATTAATTAATCAAAAGTTAAATTAACTAATCACAAACTTGTATGTTGCATCATATAAATTCTCAATGGACTTTAAATATTAAATAAAACTGATGGAACTAACTGTATTATTTATATTTTTATGCTTACTTCTGGGATGGTATTTATTGTAAGTATACTTAATAATTGATAATAATTTTGTATTTACCATTTGTGTGTTATTACATATTCATTACATCAAGTATTTAACATTAGATAGTGGATTACTCACGTGTGACAGTATGCTAATGATTATAATGAAGGGAATGCAATGAGTACATTAAACTTATTGATATAAACTTTTCCAGATGTTAAAGTTACAAAATGAGTTGGAAAAAATAGAGCCAATGGGGTATATCCTGTTACATGGCATGAAAGGATTTGGAAAATCATCTTTAATTGCCAATACTCTTCAAGATACGAAATTAGTGGAGACTTTGTTCAATGTAACTAACAACCTTCATACATTTCATTATTAGTTCTCACTTTAGAAAGCGTCAAGAAATTATGAATGAATATTTCATTACAGAATGAATTTTATTGGATTAAATTTGGTTATGAACGTTCCACTGACGAAGAAATACTAACGCAATTAAGCTTTTTGTATGAACATATTCCTAAATCCGAAACTGCTTCCGATACTTTAAAATCAGAATGCCATTATTTCATGCAATATCTTAAAAAGTATTTCGGAAGTAAAAAGCATCGCAATGCTTTATTAATTCTGGACGATGTTTGTAAAAAAGAATTTATTGACGCATTTGATTTTGGCTGCAAAACCTTAGTGGTCACTGCAGATAAGGACGTTCTCGAAGGAAAACGTTATTCTCGCATAGAGGTACAATGCTTCAGAAGTTAATCAGTTTGTCATTTATAATCTATTTATTTACTCACTGATATGCATGCAATTATTATTTTATAGATGAATGATGGATTTACAGAAGAGCAAACTTTGGGTCTCTTTGCTAAAGTACTTGATACTACAGTACAGAAGCTTCCAGTAGAAGCAAATAAAATTCACGAAGAGTGCAAAGGCATGCCTTTACTCATAGCTATGTTATCTGCACAATTTGAAGAATTTAAAGATGATTTAAACAATAGTTCGGCTAGATGGAGATATTATCTTCGTTTATTGCGACAAAAGGATTCATCAAACGAGTAATTTTATATTGACTGTCGTTAAGATTGTAATTGCTAATCACCAATGTGTAACATTTAATATATTACAGGGTCATCAAAATGTTTTTGAAGAAACAGAAGAATATTTTTGACATGTGCATTAATAAGCTGCAGGATCAAGTGAAAAAATATTATATGCAATTAGCAATTTTCAATGATGGTGTTAATATAATGCCTAAGGTAATAATTTTATTTAAAGATGTTTACCTGTAGTCCTAATTAAGTAAGAAAACTAAACATTTCATTTCGTTCTATTTTAACAGACTCTTGCAATCCTTTGGAATTGCCACAAGTTTGCAGTGGACGAGAAAATGATAGCACTTAGCAATAAATCCCTTGCAGTTAGAAGTTGGAATTCAAACTTTGAGTGCTACGTATATGGCGTGCACGACTTACTACTTTGTCACCTGCGAAACAACTTGCTAACACCTCAGGAACTGAAAAGCATGCATCGATCGTTTATTGAACAATATCGCACAATGTGTCGTGATGATTATTCAAAATTGCCAAAGGACAACTACAGTTATTCATACATTGGTCATCATTTAGAATTGGCTGAATTGTATGATGAATTTCCAAAATTATACTTGGACCTTAACTTTATTCAAGCCAAAATAGATGAAGCAGGTCTAAGCGACACATTGATAGATTTGAAACGGTACAGAAAGTACATAACGAACAACGGCAACGAAGAATTAGAAAAAAAGATCTCCGATTTAGAAAGGTTTTTAAACGAACAAGCTTACGTACTGGCAGCATCCAGACGTAAAGGATCTCTCGATATAATTCAAACTGCCTTGAACTATTCTTACCAAGGTTTCATAACAGAAGAGGCTCAGAAGCTGGCTAATCAACGAAATGAAAAGTTATATTTCTCAAATACCAAACAAAAATATAATATACGGGCACATGACAGTACAGGACCTGTATCATTGAATCATGAATTTTACATTGAGATATCAACAATCAGCTTCACTGATGATCCAAATAAAATTTTGCTCGGTAATGACTTAGGCGAAGTTATTCTGTTTGATCTTGAGAGCCACAATCAGAGAATATTTTCTGGATTTGACATTAGGGACTCTATTAAAAATATAATCGTCTCAGATACAGACCTTTTTCTTGCCATAAGCGACAGTGGTACTTTAAAAGTATTTAGTTTAACGAAAGACGAGTATGTGATGACTCCAGATGAAAACTATATAGAGCCGCTGAGTCCTAGACAGAAACAGGTCGACTGGACTCCCATGTTCATGCCAAAGCCTTCGCGGGATGACAGTACTATGACAGTTAGCATACCCAATGAAAAGATAATGGATGCTGTGTTCCTGCATGATGACAAGTATGTTGCAGCGTGTACCGATAAAGGAAGGGTCAACGTGTGGAATCGTAGCGGCGATATTCTATCAGAATGTAATCCTAACCAAACGTGAGTAACTAATGTTTGTGTTAATTACATGAAGTCTTTAACATGTGACGTATGTATTAATGAATATTTGTCTTTACAGTTGTTTCCAAAGTATTACTGCCACTGGAAGAGATGTTTTATTGCATACTATTGATGTTACAAAAAGTACCATAGTTACCTATCTTAAGGATGAGACAAAGTATTCCTATCTAACGCAGTACAATGCAAGATATAATAAGAATTTGCAACAAGAGAGCAAGATTATTCTTTTCCAACACGTGCCATTGAACGATTATGCTTTGATTCTTGTAACTCAACATCAGGCCATATACATAAAATTTGGTTGGTCCCCCGATCGTGAGCAGGCGTTCAATTTCATGCGCCAAGAAAGGGCTAAAGTCACAGAGCAGGGTGTAGTCTTTACTTGTGCTGCTGTAATGCATGATGGACAGTATCTGGTCATTGGAGATTCTAATGGTTTTGTAAACATTTTTAAAGCCGATGCTTATCAACTTATAACTAGATACAAAGGCCATGTTACTTCTTTGGACACATATTGGATGAATGATGAAGGATATCATCTCGTAAGTCTTTTTATATTATTCTTCAGATTGTATTTGAAATTTGAAAATAACTCACTTTTTAGATTTGCGGTACAGAGGGTAAATTGATTCGCAGATGGAAATTTGATTTGGAATCCTCAATTCCGGCAGGGTAAGAATTTCTATAACCGATACGTACACAGTTTTAATGAAAAATAGCGCACAGAAAGTGTATAGATTACGCCTATGTACTTGATCCATAGGATATTTCTACCCAATACTGTATACTTTTTTGATTTCATGGAACCAATTTCAATTGATGCATTTGTCCTGAGTAATGGTATATACTATTTATTTTCTGTAAGCAGGGCACCTGCCTTCGATGCTTTTATGACATCATTTGGGGAAAGCAATACGATTGCTGTTGAAACTTGGCCAGACACAATTACAATATATCAGGATAACAACATGATAGCTTGTTCGAAGCGTGGTGATTCTAAGATTATAAATCTTAGTTTTGATTCAACTGGGACAAGAATTGTATATGTCACTGAAAAAGGCACGGTTACTCTATTCAATATAGAGGAACAAACGACGATCCAAATAATGAAATTGCACGAACCAACAACCTTTTTAAAGTGGTTGGATATGCCTCAAGGCGATATGATAGTGTGCATGCAAGATGATGAGAATTTAAAAGTATATCAACTGTTTTTTCTCTATAATATAATAAGTCATCACCTGTCAATACTCTACTACCTAAATTTTCACAGGTATGGATTGATTGCGACAACGTCTTTATAGTCGAAAATACGGGGAATATAATTTCGATGCACAAATTAAATGATAAGCAAGTTCTCACTATATCCCAAACAGGATTAATAAAACTTTGGCTTATCCGGGATGCTGACTGGAGACGAATTGCAATTACACAATGTGATAATGGCACTGCAGAGATACTATATACTTCGTTAAGCTTTCAGAAAACATTATTGTCAGTATTAATGTCAAATTACAAATTTGAATTATATGCTATTCAAAAAGATAGTACGACGATGCCTGAACAAATACGATTGACACGTGTTGTATGCGAGGTTGACCTGGGCTATCGTTACGGTTTAACATGTTGTAGTTTTTCACACGATGATAAATATTTAGCGGTTGGTCTTAGCAACGGTGACGTAAGAGTAAGTCGTTACATCTACTACTTACATCATTCACTATTTGCTAATGAACTCAAAATTGTTTAGAAAATTCTACGATACTTTATCGTTGCAGATTATATCCATGCAAGGAATGGTTGAGCTGGATAATCTTTCACTCCACAATAACGCAATAAGTCAACTCTACTGGGCTCCTGGAACAATTGATGAACCAATCCTACTTTCAGTAAATCGAGATGAGCTGGCGTGGTGGAATTTACGTCTTTTAAATCAACCTAAAGTGATTAAAAGGAGTCGCAAAGGTATTGTCCAGAGCAATAGTAATCCAAATATGAGTACCAGTCCAAGATCAAGTTGGGGTATTCAACCCAGTCACAGTGCAGATTTTACTCCTTATAACCAAATTGAACAACAAAAGTTGGAAGCTTCAAAATCCGAATCCAGTTCTACGATCGTTAAGAATGGCAATAGCCATGACGTTAATAAATATTGGAAATGCAAAAAAGCTAGATGTCTAAATAGACCAGCATTATTAGGTGTCATTACATTGTCACCAAACTATATTGATAAAGTATGCGTGTCCAGTGATTTTAGTAATTTTTTAATGTTGGACACCCATGGAATGGTCAGTAATTTCTCGTTATTCAATTATGATTAACAATGTATTCTCTATTGACACTCTAATGGATGTTATTACCTAATAAGCGAAGCCTAATTTGAGATGCAAAAGAGTTGAAACAAAGGAGTAGATAAGTTTTTATGCTATTGGCAGTGATTATAGATATACATTAGATGAATTTTTTTTATAATATCATAATGGTAATTGCTGCCAAAAGATTTTAGGGATGAATTTAAATAGCTCAAGTAAAATTTCCATTTATTACTGATTTTGCTCAAGTCGGTACGATCAAATGACAGGAAATAAGATGAAATATTGAAATTATGGCCTTTTTTGCATTTACATGAAGAATTTTTCTGTTCCGTCGAAATACTATGGTTCCTACACTTCACTGATAACTATTAAGCTTGATATGAGCATTTGTTTTACAAAATTTTACACCGTAACAATGACAAGTACGAGTGTACAATGAAAAGACTTTACTTTTCGAAAAAAATAAGATGACAATATTGTATCGTTAATGGTAAGACTAGTAAATCCGTTTGTGCCATTCTCATAATTCATAATTCATTTTCTTTTGATGTTGCATAATACTGACGTGAGTGAAAAATTATAATGATTAATCGACATATATATTAATATAGTTTCGAGCGATACGTGCTATTGATTCAGTCTACGTTGACATTCCTGAACGATTGCAATATTGTCCAAATTTATGGCGCTATTTTATTTGCTTATATTTTAATCGTATTCGTTTTAATAATTTCAATGAAAATTATTCTGTCGTATATATGATGGACGTTTTCTATATTTTGTGTCACATCACTATGGGCGAAAAACAATGTTATTAATTTATTTTTATTATACACTCTGTTTTAAAGTTTTTGAATACTTTGGGTATATTATACCGAAATTTTGATACATCTTGAAATCACTGTATAGGTAAAACTACCTATTGCCATTGCGACCTGAGTGTAGATTTATCAAATTTTAAAACGTATTAAATACCCCCATATTTATCTAATAAATATTTTTAAGCATGCTCATAAATACAGAGCAATATGTAATGTTTTGAGTATGTTTTGCAAGTGCTGAAAGAGAAATTGAATAATATCAACGTGCTATATCTTTTAAATTTGTATAAGAATCATTTTCTCTATGTTTAAATCAGCCTACGAGAAAATACGGTGAATCATCGGTGCACTCTGTACGAATGTGTGTGAATATGCAATTCTAAAATGTGCCTTTTACGAGCATAGCGATGAAAGAGTAGAAAATTGTAGTCGAAGGTAAACATGGGTCACAATTTTATAATTTCATAATATTTTTATGTGACTATTATGTTTGTCTTTCATGTCACGTTACCGAACTTCTACAGTCATAGTACAAGCAGGATTTATTTATTTTAATTGCTCAATAGCTCACTCTTTTTAGCTGCATTTACTTGTAGTATGTTACACCACAGTACTACTACAGTGTGCATATTCTTCCGAATTATGATAAATTCAATTTTATTTTAGATAATGAATTTTTTTATGTACTAGATTACTTTCCTGATCTCATTTTGTACTCGTGTTTCCAATTCTCTATAAAAGTCTTCGTAATTGCAATAATAAGCAACGAAACTTATCGCTAGCCATTTTTATACGATGAAAGAAGTAACAAAAATTTTTAAAAATATTAATATATATATATTCGTTATACGTATAGCTGGGTTGCGAGATCAGTGTGTTTTTAAGGCTTATCTCCGTAACGGTTATTATCGTAAAAAGATCTCTTGAATGAGACACTGATGTCACCGCACAACTATAGTTAATATAATTCATAATATCATTATACGCAGTTTAGCATAACTGAGATTTTTATGTGAGAAACAATGATGAGGAATATACTTATTGATGTATTCGCTATATATTGTGTAATATAGCGGACGATAGTAAACCATAATAATATGTGAAATATTATGCATTTATTTCACCATAATATTTGTATCTTTTATACTTTTGTTACTGTTACACAATTATGGCCTGGCTAAAGATGTTTCATTTTGAAGGGCCAACTCCTTGTGACTAATAACAAAAAAGAGTCCCCTCAATATGGAACTAATGCCACGGGTCAATAATATAATAAAAAGCATATACGTATGTACATAAACAAAGATTTGATGTATGCTACATCCCATTTTCTTATACACAATGAAACCTGTTACTCTGTAAGATGCTTCGGTGTAAACTTATAAAAAAGAATTATTAGTAATTTTACGATTATCATCCATTCACAGAAGACGCAACAATCAGGGGCCGTTTGTCTCATTCATATTCATCATATCTAATCATCTATAATTTATAATTGATCAGTGGCAATTCTAATACCTGTCATTGTCCATATCTTTACTACATAGTGATTACATGGATTTACAAATCATATCCACACTGTCCTTCGCCTTCGCGTAAAATCACAACGTTAACTTCGATATATTAATAGAGGCTTCCACGTGTTGCGTAATCTGTCACTTGGCATGGCTGAAACTATTCGATTTTGAACTGTGGGCCAATGTCAGGACATTTTTGACACGGAACTAGTTTCATTGTCAAATAACAAATTTCATTTACAGATAGAAAGTCTTCATAACCATTTGGAACTTACTGGATCAATTTAAAATCACGAAATCACATAAATATATAGTATCAAAGTAAGTGAGAAAAGATTAAGATAATATAACAATTAACTATGACGAATATAGATAATTGTAGATATACATATACTCATAAAAATTCCTATATCAAGTACCACGGTTTTTAGATACTTATAATAATCCGGGAAACATCAGATAATTTCTTATCATTATTTGTATAACTGGAATCAATGTAAGAAATCACGTGTTATCATACACTGGTTGAGCACAGCTGTGTATTTCAACATTCAGCCTTGCAAATCGATTACGTGTCTCTGTCTCCTATATTCGTACGCTTTCGTTTCTAAAGGCACGAGGCATTCGGCATTCTCGTATCTAACGCAGCAAGCCGGGGAACGTAGGCGCATGCGAAGAGGAAAGTCAAACGGGCGGGGAATCGTACGATCCAGGAAGCAGTCATTTAGTATTTTTTAGTCGTAGTGCGAGGACTCCACGCGCTCCGTTCTCGCGGTATTAAAGACGATTTAAACTTCACTAAACTCTATCGACACTTGATAATTGTGCACAAGTGTAGTAAAACTAGCACTAAACACTATGGCACTGGTATACAAAAAGTCTATGAAAGCAATTGGAAAACTGGTACCAGAAAAAATGCAACCTCTGTGGAATCATCCAGCTGGTGAGACAACGAGGAAATAGTATTATTATTAATTAATTGTAACTATTGTATCTGTCGAGATTCTGTAAATACAGTTGACGTTTTACGAAAGTGGCAATGGGGTCAAGGATGGATCGACTTGGGAAATCCATCTAAATTGAATTCTAGGCTATCATTTCTTAATTTTACATATAAAGTATTTCACAGAACTCTCTGTCAAGTTATTATTTACATAGTATAGTCCCAGTGTTTAGTGATTTCTGACACAAAATTTGTCGTTTTCTTGTCGAATCGCAGCTATTGATTGTCCTGCGATAGGATAGGATCACACGTGGATATGATTCTGTATTGACGTCAAAAGTCATCGTCATCGTGAAATCTACTGATATATTATTGTGGGGATAAATGGTGTGTAGTTTAAAAGCATTGTATGTCATTTGTATCTTTCAGGACCGCAGACGATATTTTTCTGGGCGCCAGCATTCAAATGGGTTAGTAACTTTTTTTTATTTATTCTATGTTATTTACATACCTAGAAGATTTTCACTAGACAATCCCGTTTGAACGAAAACAGAATAATGTGTGTTTCTAACCCTTTAGAGTTTGAATAACACATATCTTTTTGATATCAAGGGTCACGTAGCTCGTGCATTAAAATGCAATCTGACATTTGTTGATAATGACTATCGTTTTTCCCGGTGCTGCATACATTTGCATAATTCACCCACAGTTTAACAAATAATGCAGCACCTAATGCTAAACATTTTATTATGATATATTCTTTATATTTGTTCGTCTGTTTTATAAATGTCTAGCGTTGTCACAGGTGTACCTACGTTATTAAATTATGATAATATCTTATCCAATCAATCTACTTCCCAAGTCATTCAGAGGTTATACGGTTTCTTTTAAATTAGCTGATAAACTGTCGTGCCTATTAAAAAAAAATGTCTACTAGACTTACAATCAACTTTAACTTTAAGAAATCTTGCGATCAAGTATATTGGCACTGACTCTTGAATTTTATTGTACCTATGTATATATGACTTATGCAACAATATAATTTCCTGTCACGCAATTCGCTTGTGACAACTAAAAATTATATTATGGTCATATGACAATATTTCTGTTGGTTTTCTGTTTTCCTTCCAGTTCCTAATAAATGTCTGGTTTTGTACTACTAGGATAATAATGATTTATCGATCGACTAATCCATGATAATGATCATCACAAATTTTGTGACTCGTTTTAAATTCTCGTCTCAGAGAAGTCTGCTAGGTGACCTTGTAAGCTTCTATAAAAACGCTGCTCTCACGCCGTTATACAACAAGCTTCGAAAATTGTACCAAGTGACACGTTGTAATCATTACGCTTAATGTAATTTAATATTATCACTTAATTTCCAACAGAGATACAGCAGTCTTATATTCGTTTAAGCATAATTTTGGCAAAAAACCGTAGCCTTTTTACAAGAGATAAATATAATGCTATCACGCACATTAAAAATGTATTATCTCGTATCTCTACCACTGCACTACTGTATTCTTTATGCAATGCTGTGGATAAGGTAAACAGGAGTTTTACACGACAATAAAAATTTGCTTCCAGGGTCTCGTCCTAGCTGGGCTTGGCGACCTCCAGAGACCAGCTAGTCAGATTTCCCTCAGTCAATCAGCTGCCCTGGGACTTACTGGAGTTATCTGGACAAGATACTCATTGGCGATTACACCAAAAAACTGGAGTCTCTTCAGTGTCAATCTGTTTGTTGCCTTCACAGCGTTATACCAAGTTTCACGAGCAGTCAAGTGAGTTCAAAGATCCTGTTACTCTAGCATTAGTAACAGCATTAAATTACAATGGCATTTATTAGTTTCTACACATGTCCCATGCCGTACTTGGCAGAGTACTATTGACACTGATGACGTCAGTAACCCTAGCATATACCTAAGAGTCGCAGTAGACTATAAATAGCACTATTTACCGTATGTCGCAGATCCTCAAGCTCAAATAATGCGAGTTATAGTTTTCTTGACAAGCTCACTGAGATTGTATTTATCCTTCAGATATCAGCAGGAACAGGCAGCGAAGTAAGCTGCACTAAGCGCCGCACAGTAACTGAAGTTGCATAAAGCCATTCCTGGAGGGGAAACTTCCGTCATGGTGTCTTCTCGTAGGTCTTGAAACTTAAAATATTTATATAAAATTCACGTACGCGGTATTGATCGATACTACTGCCGGTTGTCATCCAATGATACGAAAAAATTTACATCGATAAGGATTAATCAAGAGATTAAAAGATTGACATTGAAGATTAATGCGTGCAGGAGCTTATACTTTTACGAAAAAGAGGTTGTTGAATTATTTATGTCTTACGTACCTTATGGTTTAGAAAATAAATTTCTCGTAAAAGATAAAGAAATCGTGCAACTATTAGTCGCAATTTGAAAGAAATGTAAGTTGTTTGTGGCTGGACCACAAGAGCAAACAGAAACGCCAAACATAATGGTGGCACATATTTTTTATCGATAGTGGTATATCTGTAAAATATTGTAATTTTTAGGGAAAATTAATGAGAAATCTCTACCTTCGTGCTATAACGTACAGCCAGACATTCTACATATACGCAACATACTCTATCGAAATGATTAGAGGAAACAATTGTACAAATTGTACCTACTGTCGTTCTAATGTAATTCCCTGATATCGATTTATTTAAATAAAGCCTGAATATTTTTAATAAAATTTCAATACTATTTCTTCCAACTTTCAGCAATTAGTATTACTTGATTATATTTTCAATATTTCTGTGCAACTGATTTTTTTCTTCTTCTCGCGGGTTATCCAGCTATTTTCGAATCGCAAAGGTTCGAATGTTTGTTCTACAAGTAGCGGCTTCTGCTGTGTAAGGATTAAGGAGATTTGCAATAAGCTGATTTTACAGCATCTGCTGATATAATTATGAAAGGATATTCCTATGTTTGATAACTATTGTAACAAATCATTTTATCTTTGAGTCGAATTAAAGTGTCAAATCATTTGAATCTGTTTTAAATTTATTTTTATACCAGTAAAAATCGTGGAGTTATTTTAATCTTAGTTCAAGATTTAATCTTCAATTATAATAGAGAATATGATAATAATAATATTAAATATATCGGACCACTTCTGATAATTGTATCATTCTTATATGTGGTGCGTCATAACAATTGAAGCACATCTTTTTTTCAGTATTAAAATTATTATGGAACAAATATTTTAACATTGATGCGTTGGATATGTATTGATAATGATTGCGATAGTATAAGAATCAATTGCAGTTTATCATTTTATTATGTATCAATAAGTTAAACATAGTTTTACGAAGTTTTGTAAATAAGGTTTGGGCTGTACATAAAATCGAATGATAAGAACATATTAAATAAGTCTCATCGCGTTCCGCACAATTTTACTAATATCTAAAATAGACGCAATTGAAAAAAAAACTAGACTTGATATCTATCTTAAAGACAGATATTGTGGTCTTGTTTATACCAGTTGTCCGTTGTAGCCATAGTTGTGAATTTCTGTCTAAGAAAGCTTTCATAGGCAGAACATTCAAAATTCCTTATTTTCTTGTTTAATGTAATAAGCATAAACCTAATCTCCGGTTTCTTTAAACTCAGACAATTATCAGGATATTGAAGTGTCACTTGCCATAATTACTATTTTACTCTGATAAACATCCAACTTATAACATAATCATTCACCTATGTCAACGACAAGTATAAGTCATGTACAAATCAATATCATGGTTTATGTTCATTTAAAACTATGTTACATTTACAATGGCTGCATCATTACATAATATAGTCTTTCTAATGTCTTATTATAAGTTATAGGCAGCTTATCTTAGTTCCTAGATCATGAATCTCATTGCTTGCCTCTATAAACGCGCGTATAGATATATCAGGATGTTTAAATGTTTAAAGAAATAGAGAACGCGAACAAGAAGTCTTTAAAACACGGGAAGATCGATCATGCATTCTGTAATCATTATACATGGGGATTCTTTGGTTAATTAATCAATCTGTTCGCAGAAAGCTTATTCGTATTAAATGAGACAAGCATTTCAAAGAGTATTAGTTGTAAAACGATAATGCAAATTCTTTAATATGGAAATCAAATACGTAGCTTCTCTAATAACCAAAAACGCCATATTCCAGCACGTTGCCTGCATAATAAAAGCATGCTTTACAGAATGCTGCTGTTGTTTTGCTGGTAACATGTCGGGATATTTGGGAGGCAGTGCTATTGTCGCTATCTGGATTATTGTAAAAATAAATATATATAATTAGCTGCAATGAAAAATATAGACTACATAAATGAATGAGCTTTCCAGGACATAACACTGAAGCAGTTTGGAAATAGCCAAAATTGAACGGAGTAATTTGCTTTTTTTTTATAAATAAATTAAAGTTGATACCCATGCCTTACGTGTTTCTACTGACACATAGTTTGCTCCTATTTCTTTAATGTTGGAACTGTTTTTGGAACATTTCACAATTGTGGGGTAGTTGTATTAGTGATAAACAAAAATCTAAATTTCATCAGCACTCTCTGTCTATTTCCCTCATTGGACGATAATATGGTCATTACAAGTTATACATTTTTATTAAAAACCTCAGATTTCGCAGCTTGCAGAATCCAGCAATTCATCCCAGTTGATACTCGCTTGAAAAACTTCCTGTTGCAGCCATAACTCATAATGCTGTTTGAATTCGTCTGTAAGTTCCACGTTAGCACCAAGTACCGAAGTAATTGATGTGTCAACAGGCTCTAATTCCTCATCTCTACTTGAAGTCGAATATCGCCGATTATTAAACTGATCGACACAAGCGCGCAACGCACATTCTTCCGCTTGGAAATCCCAGGGTCTTGCTTCCAGGTCTATAAAAATATTAAAGAATTAAACCGTCTTTTCAATATTTATTAAAGTGTTTTTAATTAGATCTCGTAAGTATATACCATTTCCATAGGCCCAGTCGTCGTTCAGTCTATGTCTAACTTTTGCATAAATCACACTAATTGTTTTCATATTGTTTTTGCGCCATTGTCTGCCTAAATATTTCGTTTGCATTTTCACAAGTTTCAACACATACAATTGCATCATAGCATGTCGGACTTTAAGCGTACGTTTCAATATAGGAGCAGACTTGAAAACTACTAACATCTGTTAGTGAAAAACAAATTGTTAATTAGTAATCCTGCAAATTCCTTATGAAGTTAGATTTTTTCAAGTTAGAACTATATATCTTATTTACCATGATTCTACTATGCTTCCATTTAGTCAATTTATTCAAAATCCGCAGCAAATTGATACATGAAAATACATTGCGCCAAGAATAAGTTTGACTATCACCTATTTCCAGTCCTTCTACTGTGAGTTCTGGTTGATCACCAATAACGCACATTGGGAAGTCCAACATGGGTATACTGTCACATAATCAAAATTTCACATAAAATATTTATCTACAAAGAATTCAATAATAATAAATAAGTAAACTGATACACTATAAATACTTACACATTTTTAGCTTCAATGTAAGCCAATATATTCTGATTCAAGAACTTCAGAACAAGGGGTATGCAATTGGCAAAAACCAAATGCTGTGACATAAATTCAAATTGATACACGTGATTTAGCTTAAAGTGCTTCAATAATAGAAGTAAAATAGCGGATACTGCCTTGACGATAATTTCCTTGTGACGACTAACGTCAATTCCCAGTTTCATTGACTGTAAAACTGTCATTCTTCCAACAAAGATATATAAATATAATAAATATTTGAGGTCTATAAATTAAATAAGCTTCTTTTTTTATTAAACTTACGGCATTTCTTCCGGCAACACATCAGCCATAATATTAATACTATCGGTCTTTGCTTTACTGGTGGGTGCAGCAGCAAGCAAAATTTTAAGTAAAGCTATCATGTACTGAGGAAGATTAACCAAAATAGCTTGGTACAAAATTTCTGTTGGAGTTTGACGAAGCGGCGGTTCCGATGTGCTTATTGGATTCCTCGTTATTTCTTCCTCCTTTTGTATTTGAACTTCAGCCAGTGATGTATACATGTGCTGTAGAATAATTGGCGATAAAACAAGTTTCACTATTATCGTTACTCTGAACTCTTTTGAACATTCACCTACCCGCTTTAGCGTGTTCACACCTTCATGAATAGGCTGTGGAAGGCCAGCCAAGCTTTCCCTATCGCCTTTCAATTTATATCCAACGAATTTTAATCGTGAAACCTCAAGAAACATATCCACATCCTTCTGCCTTACTTTTGGTGTCCAAGGTAATCCTGCCAATTCATCATGGTTCAGTATTAAGATTCAAATATATAAATGGATTACATACTTTGATATTAGAGGAACTGTCATTTGATTGGAACATGCGAAGGCATATACAAGCGTCGAAAATATATATAGATTTCTACAAGAGCTTGTACCTGTATTGACGTTTACAAGTTCATTTAATTCGTAGAATCGTTTTATATTCCTTGAACATACATCGCAGTTAAGTATCTGATTTCTACAGCCTCTAAGAATTACAGGAATTCATAAGTTTAGGATTTAAAATAGGATTGTTATAACAGAAAAATGGAGTAATAAATGGGATCAGTGATATAGGATAGGGACTTACATATGCAGTGTATACAGCCAATGGAGAAAGATATTAACTTTACTATGCCGATGAGAATACTTAACGAGAAACTTCATGCAGAGCACTCGTTCTTTATTCTTCACAGACTTCTGGTTAGCATATCTTATATACACTATAATATAGCACAGGAAGTGATATATTATACAGGAGGAAATAAAGCGAAAGAACACCATACAATTTTTACACTGAGATATTTGATGACCTAATATCATATATAATAAGTAAAAAGTTACCTTTACCCTTAGCTGGTTGTGGTGTACTTGGTCTTGGTTGTTCTTGATTACTTTGTTCCTCTTCATACGTTCGATAAGAAAAAACTACAGGCTCTTCCATATACACAACTGTTTCACTCTCACCCTCATTTGTACCTGTACCAGTTCCAGTACCACTACCATCAGGTTCTATTCCCAGACCTTGTTCGTCCATTGAACTTTGTTTAATAAGAATTTGCTAATGATGAAAATAAGTGATTAAATGAGAGGTCACAGTGTTACAAATAGTAATAGTTTTAGTAAATGTCAACTAACTCGACGAAAAGGACGGTTGTTTCTTTTTTGGTTTTGTGTGTCCAATAAATCTGCTGCACTAGATGGTGGAGAACTTGCTCTCATTCCTTTCGTAACTTCAATCGTATCTTCGTCTATTGTTTCAAGACCAGCCTCCGCACGATATTGTTTTTTGAGCTGTCTTAATGTATCAATACCACCCAGTGAAACTAATATTAATTTCCACAGGAGTAGAAGAACTTTTTTCATTGGAAAATGTGGAGCAGACCCACTACAAAAGCAGGTTACCATCCCAAGAAGTTTGACAATTAATAATTCTTCTCCATATGGATTAACTGTTAAATGATACATGATTGGAGTTTAAAAATGATGCTGTTACAATATGTAATATAATTGAGATATATAAATTAAAACATTACCAAGTTCTTCTTTAAAGGACTCAACATTCTTCTTATAATGACTGTTTTCTAAATCAATGGCTTCCACTCTCATCACTTCCGCGATAATATATAAAACTGATAGAATTACTCTCAAATCTATAGAGTCAGCGAGACTCACTGCTAATTTTCTCATTGCTGAACTGGCAGCTGTGCTATTTCTAAAAAAATATTAAAAAAAACGAAAAGAAACATTTGTTGTAGATAGGTATTGTGGTTTGAGTATGATATTTCATTAAGTTCTAAAATCTTACTCAATCTCGATGTTCAATAGCTCTACAAAGGCTGGAAAAACTCCAGCTTCATAGAGTAGCATTACATTTGTCCTGGTCCAATCTTGTTGTTCTTTATCAGATTGTACTTCTGACCAGCAACCTTGAGCTATATACAAAATACAACGGGCAGCTTTCATTCTTAATTGCTTATTGGAGACTTCCAATTGGTCCAACAGTTTATGGATAATAGACTTCTGTTGAGGTCTGGTGAGATATTGCCAAAATGGCCGTAATTTGTACCACGTCATTTGATCTTCGAATGCCTAAATTAAAATAACACAATAAGAATATGATCCTTAATTAAGAAATTTAAAAAAACATTAATTAGTACATCTCTACGGCAATGAATATGGAGCTCTACCTTAGCATTGAGCTGTAACTCATATTGTTCTGTATAACTGTACAATTCAGCAATTTCATTGGTATGTGTGTCTGCATCAGCATATATAAAATCCAAATCTGGACTCTCAGGCCATTCCTAAAGGCAATAAAAAATTATCCTCACAATTAGATTAGAAATAGACGTTAGGTTCGCAGTATAATAACATTTATGAATGTGATTAACATTTACCATTATTAACAACTAGAATTCAACTTCCGTAATTCATGCTAATACCAAATAACTTTATATCATGAATGCCCTAATCTTCCACTCATATACAGACGCTGTCAAAACTTTTAACAATGGCATATATATACATAGCAGGAACAATAATTATTGTCAGCTGTCAAAGTGAAGACAAGAAGGCTCTCGAACACCGACACGTAACTAAATAAAACCCACACAATCGTTGTAGTTCTATATCTAATAGCTTAAATTTACTTACTTCAGAGTCCTGTTTCTGCCGACCAAAAATTTCCCGAAATCTGAGACCAGTACTTTTTCCATTGCCATTTGCATCCGTCACTGCGTCGCCATTATTAGAATTGCGGATAGGTCTTCGGTAACATTTTTCCTCCCACATGGTACGAAGAAAGATCCTCCACCAGTTCACCAACAATAATCGCTACGTTACAATCCTATAATCTAAATAAATGATCTACGACACTCCATATCTTCTCCAAAAATGTTCGCAAAACATCACAACACAAACAGTCACTGTTAAAAAATATCAATATGGGGTATTCAGGGGTATTCAGGGGTATTTGAAGACTTGAACCCTTGACTTAACACCACTTCATAGAACCTTCCTTCCCTTCCTTTCCTTATGGCTGACTCCTCCAATGAGGAGATGTGCCAGTAACACTTCATAGACCCAAAGACCAGTAGGGAGATGCACAACGTTATGGTTTCAGGCAGAGATGAGTGGGGAGATGTACAACGCTCCGGTTTTAGGCGATACCAAAAGCATGGCGCTAAATTGTAGCGGCGAGTCCGGGAGTAGGATTTCGTCATCATTGCCTCTGTCGATGTTACAGATTTCGCGTAGCCGCCCGGATCATGATCATCGTTCCAGCCGGTATTGCAGTCAGCGAAAATGAATAGATTGCTCGGTGGTGGGGAAAAAGTTGCCGCCCCTCACAAACCGTTCTTGACAAACAGGCGGAACAGCAAAGTCTTCCGTCCAACCAAACCCTGAACATTTGTATGGACGTAATGCGCAAACAAATGTGTATATTCAAATAAATTTTAAAGTTATAAAAAATGCATAGAAACATTGGTTTTCACTCTTTACCTCTTATCATGCAGAAAATGAACATTAAAAAATGAATGGTGAAATTCGTTGGTAAATGAAACGACCGAGAACAGTTCAAAGAGAAATTTTGAAATATCATAGATAAATATCTATAGAAAATTTAATTTAGAATTAAACGAGCATCGTAACTGAGTCAATAACCTGTCAAGATATACCGCTGCTGGTTACGGGTTCGATCCTCCATGAAGAACTCTTTTTCATCTTCTTTTTTTTTTTTCATTTTACTACAAAAATTGTTCAAGGTGCCTCTCTTTTAACCTTTCTAGGTTGCCCAAACTTTATTTTAAGTTTGCATATTTTTTTTTTAATTTTATCTATGGCAAAATCGACTAATATTTTAAACGCCCGCTCCTGCCGCGAGACCGGCGACTTGAGCGATTGCGGGACCTCTCTCGCTGAGGGGTCTCCTATTGCTGTTACTGCTGCCGCTGGTTCTTATAATCTTATAAATACTTTTTTATTTGCAATCTTCAGTTCCAGCGCCCAGTTTAAACTCAATAAGATTTACTATGAGAAAATAATTAGCTGACTTCATTACCTGGAATCAATAATCTTGAGAAGCAAATATGGAAACGAGCATTATCTCTGTCTGTAATTGTTCGTCCACGTGGAGAAGGGTAGCGCGAAAGTTCTTAACTGGTGTGCATCTTCATATTATTCTGCTTATATGTAAAGTAAGCGAAACGATAATAGTAAGTAGTTGAATAAACGATGAAATTCTAGAAATATAACTTCCGAAAAAAGTAAAAGAAACAGATGTTTCTGGCGTCTGGCTAGTGCACCCGGTTACGAATCGGGAGGTCTATGGTTCGAGACCCCTCTATGGAGAGCACTTCCTTTTTACAAAAAAAAATATGCTTTTGCAAATGGAATTAACAGATTAAAGAGTATATCCAATTAATTTATTTATATTATTACAATAAAGGCATAAACAACGACAATCTACGGTCTTCCACATCACCCAAGAGGTGCCGCCGTCGATGCGTTCCCATTATTTAACGTAGCGGGTCCCCAGTAGGCCTATACTACGATCGGCCTATACTATTTTTCAAGGTTTCTCTCTTTCAAATTTTCTCGGTTGTCCAAACTTTATTTTAAGCTTATATAAAATATTTTTAAAAAAAGGTTGTCATCGGGATCGAAAATCATTTTCTATTAACTCACAATATTCTCTCTCGCAATATCCTTCATAGTAATAAAATAAACATGAGACGTGTTGCGTCTTGTTTCCTTATAACTATTGAAGAACTACTTACCATGATGCTGCTGCCTGTACGACTGTGAACGACCTGACGCTGCAGGCCCCAATGTGTATTGCTAGTCGCGCGATAGTTAGCAACATTGTTGCCGACGCCCGCTCAGATTCGATCCGTCAGATTCCTAGACTGTTGTGTTGAAGTCGCCAGTACGTGATCTCAATAGACCGATATACTGTCTATAATTGTCCTTTTCTCAATTTCTCATACTTTTAGACATTTACCCGCGTCATGTGTGTGTGAAATATAATGTAAAATAATTGCCGTAATCATCTTCAATGAAGAAACTTTATATTTGAGTGCAGAACTTATATTATTAAGATTTTCTAATCGAAACCTTTTGAAATCCTATTGCCATTCGTTTATACTTTAATTACCTTAATAGATCGATTGTGTAATGTTGATATCGCTGATCGTAGTATAGTCCTAGTGGGGACCCGCTACGTTAACGCACCTCTTGCGATTCGTAACCGGGTGCATTAGCCAGACGTCAGAAACA